GGCGGTGCTGGCGGAGGACGCGGTGGCCTTAGATGGGAGCCAGGGTGGAAATGGGGGTCTCAGAGTTCCTGAGTAACCGACGCCATTTTCACGATTCTCCAGTTGCTGTTCCGAGGTGGATGCACACCAATGAGCACATTGCTGGCTGCCAGCCAATCATTTATTCCCCAAATCTTCCAGCAGACACAGTTCATGGTTCCCAGACCCTGGGCAGTCACCCCCTCCCATCACACTCCATAATTTCTACTTTGCCTTGGTTCCTTGACTCTGTCTGCCAGTGAACGTCTTGATGTCCGGGAAAGCGCTTTGTATGCAAAATAACTGGACTGCTTGCAAAATAATTTTTTAAGTGCTCCGAGTTATGCTGTGATATCTGAAATGATGTGTTCATGAGCTGGGCTTGGAGTGAGGAGGCTGGAAAGGTCCAGGTGTGGTCCCCTCCCTGTCTAGTGACCCGGCCACTTGAGAAAGAGGCCGCACGGTAACAACGAGGTAGGGCTGGGGAGAAGGAGGGTTTCCTCTCGGGGCTGTGGCAGGAGGACCTAAAGGGGCAAGGCAGACACACCGCCCGACTTTGACAGGCGTGCTAAGGGGGTATGTGGTACTTTTGGTATAGACTAGTGCTGCTGTGTAACAAAGGTTCCCAAACTTAATGACTTAAAATAACAATATTCAAACCCAGGCTTCTACCCCGGTCTCACCTGGAGGTCCTGCCATGCAGCCGGTCTGGGACAGACTCACTCAAATGGCTGGCGGCTGGCATTCACTGTGGCTGGTGAAGGGACGGCGAGGCCCTGGGTCTGCAGTGAAATCCACGACATTGACATTTCTCAAAGCTCTACTGCCTTCCATTTTCTAATTTCCCAGGGGCCGAAGCACAGGGCCAGGTTCAGACTCCAGTGGCTGGGAAACAGACCTGCTGCGGGGGAGGGAGAGTCTCAGAGACAGAAGCAAGTGGACGGTGGGAAGAGCCTGTGGCCATTTTGGGAAGCTCCACCCTAAGTGTGTCTCATACCTGCCTCAGGTGCCGCCGAAGCCCCGTCCTGCCCAGGAAGCTCTCGGCGTGGGCCCTCAGCCTGCCTCTCTGGTGGGAATCTCCCCACTGAATCTCGGGTCCCATTCAAATCTGTGTCCCTGCAGTGCCCTAACCTAGTCAGTTCTTACTGATCGTTTTATTGAATTGAGTTGAGTTGAATGGAGTTAATTCTTTTCCTAATTACGGGCTCCTTACTGGTAAATTTGGAACCAGTCTGTTGTGTAAAACTTCCCTCCCAAAGCTCTTGGGAAGACACTAATGTGCAGAAAAACCTACAAGCTCTCAGAAGCCTGGTGCTGAGTGCCGCGTCTTCAGGCTGGCCGGGCCCTGAGTGCGGAGGCAGAGGGACTCGAGCGCCATCTGTCCCTCTCAGAGCAGCTGTGGCGGGGACACCTGTCAGCCCTGGGCCTCTGCAGCTTCTCTCTGTGGGCTCCTTGATGCGCCCACCCCATGCCAGGACCTCCCTGAGCGCTTTCCCCACGTCCCCCCAGGTCGGGGCGGGGGCAGAGACCACGCGGGGGACAGCCGCCCTCACCTGCCCGTCCACGTCCGCTCTAGACCTTCCTGAGTGTCAGCGAGTGCCGGGAACCGTCACTCCAGGTTGGGCAGGAGGGGCCCTTTCGTCAGGCCTCCCCCACTGAAGTTTCCGTCCTGGGGGCTAGCGAGACCACTGCAGTCTGTCTGCTCTTCGTCTCCGTCGCCATCTCCCCAGCCCTCAGGCTCCAGAGTGCAGCTGACCGCCACAGCCCGCGGGTCCTGGCCCCCAGGTACAGCCCCGCAGAGTGGGGCCCTTGGGGTCTCTCCATTGTGGTCCTCCCTCCTCAGGGAGGAACTGGAGCCCAAGGGGGGCAGCGTCCAGGGTCCTGCAGTGAGCCGCAGTCGCTGACTCCTGTGCAGGCGTTCACTGAACACCTACTGCGCACAGCGGGCCGGGCACCAGAGATAACACAGAGAGCAAGCGGCTCCACCGCCTGTCCCCTCGGGGCCGTGACTGGGAGTCCCAACCCCGGTTACTCTTGGGGGTGACTTGGGGCCCTTAAGGAAAATCCCACTGTGGGGGACCTCCTCAGAGACACAGACACAGTCGTCTGAGGCGGGCCTGGCGTGGGGATTGTTTTGTATCTTTTTTCTTTTTTTGAGCTAGGGCCTGAACATTTTTAAAAGGGCTTGCAAGTAATTCAAGCAGGCCACAGGTTGAAAATTGGTGGTCTAAGTGAAGAGACAGATAAAAACCTGGTGAAGACAAATAAATGCATGATGAAGGTTTGTTCTTTGCAAGGGCTGTCCAGGAGCTGAGTGAGAACACAGCAGGATGGGCGCCTGTTGCCCGCCTAAATCTGAAGGGACACAAAGCCTCAGTGGAGAGCTATCCCGGGTCAGCAAGCGTCCTCGTGCGTCCAGTGTGGGCTTTCTGGGGAGTCGCCCGCTCGGCAGGCCCTCGGCACTGTGGGCATCCGGCACAGCTCTGGGTTTTCAACCCCTTCCCTAAACACCTCTGCGTGCACTCACAGGTCCACCCACGCTTTATGAACACCCTCAGGCCACCCAGCGCATCGTCATGGTCTGTGTTGCCCCCTTGTTATGGGGTGGCTCTCAGCGCTGGCACCAATCCTGGGGGGCAGGTGGATCAGGGCTGGCATTCCCACGACAGACGACAGACGATGGACGAGGCGGCCGGCTCCTCACCAGCTCCACCAAGACCCAGACAGAGGTGGGGCCGGCCTGGGCCCACCCGTCCTGCTAGCTGGGCAGAGCTGCTGCCCATCCTGCCCTCAGGGGCACCGATGCCATTCCCGGTCCAGCCATCGAGGTATCCTTTGCTGCAGCTTCAGTTCCTGCCCGGAGCTGCCAGTTGCTATAGTAACTGGATGTGATTCCTTATTACAGGGTGGACAGTTTTAATTTTGTGTTTGAAGACTCTGGCCAGACGGTCACGTTGCCACAGCTGGACTGTCAGGCGGCAGAGGGAACCCTCTGCGTGGTCGTCAGGGCTCTCTGACTGACCGGGAAAACCCAGTCTGGGAGGAGGGCTGGCGCCCAAGGGCGCTGGGCTGATGTCTTCCGTTTGGAGCCCTAATTGGAAAGGGGAGGTTGGGCCCCTCAGCCAGTCGCTCTCACGGTGGCCTCTACTTCCCCACCATGGGACCATGCCCCAAATCCCACCTCCCCAGCAGAGAGAGCCTTCAGCGTGTTTGTTGAATGAATCAGTGAGCACACATAAGCCACCTGTAGTCGGTGGAGCCCATTAGCACTCATTATGGAGCTGTGGTCACGGGTGGGAGCAGGGGAAAGCGATCCTTGGTGATGCACTTCAGCACAGAGGGGCTTCCTCGAGCCCAGCCAGCCCAGGAGACTGAGCCAAGTCCCCGTCCCCTTGAGCCAGCCGCTGTCCCTCTCCACAGGAAGAGCCGCATTTCCAGGGTAAACACCCTGCCCTCCTGCTGCCATCTGGGCTGCTTCCCTGCCGGGATGTGCCAGGCAGTAACACACGGGCAGCGCTGCATCTGGGCCCTGGAGAGCACAGCTCTGTGCAGGCCGCACGTGGAGCTGGAGTGTGTGTGTGCGTGTGTGTGTGTGTGCGTGGGAGGGGACAGGCCACAGCCGGGACTCCTGGGCGGTGCAGGAACAGGGCTGGGAGAGGAAGAACGCACACCTGCTGAGGTGCCCCCCCAGGCTGTCCCTGCACAGCCTCCAGCTGAGCGGCAGCACCTCGCGCCTTCTCCTGCACCGGGCAGCACGGTGGGCTGGGCACACGGCGCCTCCCGGAGGACTAACCCCAGGCCCTCCCCGTGTGAGTCCCAGGCCCGGCACACTGCAGGCACACAAGGGCCTGAGTGTGCAGGCTCAGGGTGAGCCCCAGGAGAGCAGGGCTGGGGTGGAGCTCGGATGGAGCTGAGCCCAGCTCTCATTTTGCAAAAAGACTGAGACCTCATCTCTTTTTTTTTTTCTTTTTGGTACTGGGGATCGGGGGATCAAACTTGAAACCTTGTGCTTGCAAAGCTGGCAGCAGAACCCCTGAGCTAAATCCCCGGCGCAACCTCATCTCTTAATAAGGCAGGCATTGTAACATGTAACA